AAAATTTATAATAAGTTATAAATAATAATAAAGAGGTGATTATACTGCTGTATTCAGCATTGGTCCAGCCTCATCTTGAATGCTGTGTGCAGTTCTGGGCCCCACAGTTTAAGGATGTGAAGGTCCTTGAATGCATCCAGAGGAGGGCATCAAAAAAAGGGCTGGAAGGAATGTCCTATGAGGAGCAGCTAAGGACTTTGGCCTTGTCTACTTTGGAGAAGAGGAGGTTAAGGAGCAACCTCATTGCTCTGTGCAGCTTCCTGAGGAGGGGCAGTGGAGAGGGAGGTGCTGAGCTCTTCTCCCTGGGGTCCAGTGATAGGACATGTGGGAATGATTCAAAGCTGCACCAGGGGAGGTTTAGACTGGACACTAGGAAGCATTTCTTTACCAAGGGGGTAGTCAAACACTGAACAGGCTTCCTAGAGAGACGGTTGATGCCCCAAACCTGTCAGTGTTTAAGAGGCATTTGGACAATGCCCTTAATGACATGCTTTAATTTCTGATCAGTCCTGAATTGGTCAGGCAGTTGGACTAGATCATCGCTGCAGGTCCCTTCCAACTGAAATATTCTAGTCTAGTCTAGCCTAAATCCTGACTTAGTTTCTACACTAACCAGTTTTATACCTAAAGAGTAATCAATATTTTTCAGCTAAAGAAGTCTCATTTCTAAAATTGTAACTTATGAGAAAAAACATATTGAAGATTACATTTTGCAATGTATTATATGTGCATACCTGGCTATAGTTTTAATGATGCTATCAAGTTCGTCAGAAGAAGGAGGATTCCAACCTCCAGGAGGGAAGACAAGATTGATGGGGTCAAAGAGTCGAGATAAGGATTTGGACAAATAAGCAGCTTCATATTGTTGCAGTGAATCTTTCAAGGCCTTTTCTGGACTGTGGGTATAAGACAAAATTACTAAATTTTAAATTAAAATACACAATAGCATTGAATCTTTCCAGACCATACAAACTTCGCAGTATTGAACCTGGTTTTTCTTTCTGCTCTTTAAAAATATACACTTGAAAAGATTTTAGTAGCACGTAACACCTTGCTTTTCACTTGAACCTTGTAACTAGTTCTTAGAAATTTCTGTAATATCTGTGTGGAACCCCTCATTCGAGGTGTTCTTGAGACAAACCACTAAAAATATCTGCAAAATATCAGCAAGATATCCAGAAATGCAATGAAAGACCTTTTCGTAGTCACATATTCACTAGCAGATAGCTTGTACTCAGTGATATACTAAACAAACAAATGCATCTCCTGGTATATGTGTGTGTATAGAAAGCTTCAAGTAGAAAGAATCTTCTTAAATTTACCTTTAATAAGCTTCCGTCTTTAGTATTTTGATTAGTGAAAATAACTAAGCAGTAGCTCTCTCAAACATTTTACCTCATTGTCAGAAGTTTGGTGAACATTTTACTTTGCTTCCTTTGAAGTCAGTGATAAGTTTCCCACTGACTGCTCAGGAAAATATTTAAGCCAATACAAATCTCACATAAAATATTAATTTTATCCTACATAAGTCTAGAAGTACTAATAAACTTGATAAGCCTGTTTCAGTTTGAGCTTTCTGATACCAACCACTCAGATCATGTTTATTTTACAATGTATAAACGTACAAACTGAATCATAACAAACTGAGCATTTGTCACACTCCAATGACTGCAGTATCATTAAGAGAAAGCTACTGCTGTAATTGCAACACATATAAAACTGAATTTTCATCATTCTGGGTTTTTTTTCATCCAGAGACAAAAAGACAAAACTAGTTCCAAAGTCAGGGACTTTGTGAAAGACAAGACAATCCAACAATGTTAATTATATAACCTAACAAAAATCCTACAGCTCTAAAATAGTATTAAAGCAATAACTGCAAGAGGAAAAAAAGCCTGTAAAATTTTCCCACTCTGATAATTTCAGTAACACTAAGTTCTTAAAAATATTCAGTTTTCTTGCAGGGTGCAAACCTTTACATTTTATTGCCTTAGAGTTGATAATACATACTCATAATCTTGGTTTTTTTGCATGAATATGTCCTGTGTCTCATCTTCCATTTGTTGTAGTTCAGCAAAGAGATCAGTAGTTCCACTTGTGTTAAAATTCCTCTGGATATTTTGACTATATTGTTGCAGGCGCTTCCACAAGTCATTATAAAGTCTCAGTAATTTAGGGTATTCTCCTTCAAAAGCTTGTTTCAAAAACATGGAGGCTGCAAAATAAAGTAGTAAGCAATACATATTGCTAAGGTCAAATTATTTTTTTTTATTCATATAAACACCCGTATCCTTGCATTTATATCAATGAATGACATACAATATTATCCGATCTTTAATATCAATAACGCAATATTTAGAGTTAATTTCAAAGTGCTATGCGCTACCGCATTAAATGCAGTTGACAAAGGTACATATCTAAAGCACTAGCATAAAATCCACGTTTGGAAGACTGGACATGGAAAACATATTTTGTACAACAAAACTACTAATCATGGTCATTAAACATTTGGTATCAAAGTTAATTATTAGTATTATCATTCATTTAAGTCCGAAGTGTGATTAGAATTCTCTAAATCTAGAGATTTTCTAACAATAGCTTGATTGGGGAAAAGTGTGGGGCTGTGCAACGTTGAAGATACCCATTTGAAACAAAGACAACTTCTATGAGCCAAACTCTTAAGAAATCGGATGAGGTAGGCATATGTTTTTACACACACTTAAAACAAAGTACCTAAAATGCAGTCCCTAAACCTGTCAAATAAAGAATTACAAGGCCAGCAGAAAAATCAGCATTTTTTTCCAGCCTTAAAAAGCTTGCCACAAGTAACAGGAAATGAAACAAATATACAACTGTTTCAGCGACTGATGTTAATCTTCATCTAACATCACTCATACTTTATGGATTTCCCCTTACATTAGGAGATTACCACTGTTCCATTCACTCATAGGTTCTTCAGGTTCCAGACATCTGCCTCATTTCACCTAGCCTATCCTTTCAACTCAAATATATTCTAATTTTTGATACTGGAGGATTCGCATTTTTTATCAAACACAGAGTTATTTTAGATCACAAAGCTATGTTTAGAAAGACTGTCCCAACCTCACAAAAGCAGATCATGATCTATTACCAGACTCTGTAAACTGCCATGAATTCCTACTTTTACACTATTTTTCTGATATTGTCTGGTCTTCCTCTGATCTATATGATCCAGAGGTCCATGACCAATGTCAGTGGATTCAATCACTTAGAATTTATACATTAAAATATGAACATTCTCATATAAATGCATCACTTAAAAAGTTTAAAAAGTCTACTCACTGTAAGCCTTTTTCCCCCAAAACTTAGCTTTAGCAAAGTAAAAACATAATTCACAGTTCAAAAAACCAATCTCTACCTCTAAATTTTACATAAAAAACTTGATTAAAAATCCCAAGTAATAAAATATTTTTGAATGGCTCTCAGACAAAATACTCCTGACAAAATAAATTATATCACAATTTTATAATTTTAAAACTGAGTGCTGAAAACAGGTAGCCCGCATTTGGTTTGAACATATGAGATTCTGGGTACATACATACTGCTGTTAAAGTAATGCTTAAGGCAAACATTAAAATTAATATGTTTTAACACAAGATGAACACATTTTCTTTTGGGATCATCTAGTTACTTAGCAACTACTGAACATGAATCAGCTAGCTAGTTTCTCAAGATTATATTACTTCTATAAAGCCTGTAAGGACCACATTTTGAAGGGCCAATTGCAATAACTGAGATCACAAAGATAAATACAAATCTTATGCACTCTATATGTATGTGCAAAAGATGAACTTTATACGCTGTATACAAACATGAAAATTATATTTATGAAAGCACCAAACTCATCTGGGTTTATGATCCAATTGCATGCTGCATTAACATGTACTAGCAATAGTACTGTCTTACGTTTATACATTATTATTTAATATTCCGTGATTGTATCTATTTATTTATTACATATGTAATAAATATGTACAGAATATTGTGTATAGTTAGAAAACCGACCATTTATCTATATTTAGACAAGACACAACTTTGAAGAAATTCAACTCTATTTATAAAGGTATCCAAAAATGGCTAAATGCATATTTTTACAACTGACTAGTGTTTAACAACAAAAAACTGTTAAAAACTGCTCTTTAAAATCAAATTACTATCTTTGAATTTGGCAAACCCATTCAGTTTGGAAAGTATAATGCACCATTCCAAACATTTTTACCTCCACATACAGTTGAAAAAATATGTTTTTGACTACTTAATGAAGCAGAAAATATTTCTTTTTGAAAATTCAACCATAGTTTAGGACGATCACCCTCTTTGGTCACAAACCCACGAAGTTTTAAAATTATAGACCCCGCACTGAGTGAACCACTGGTATATTTCTAGTAGAGGAGATAATGAGCAAAGAGCTTACTGAAATCAGAGATTCAAAGTAACTATAAAACACATCACAAATAATTTATACTGAATACTTACAGTCTGTTGCTGACTGAAACTGAGAGGAAAGTGTCTGAGTTACTGCAGTCCAAAATTTGTACAAAATATCAGACTGGCCATCCTGATAGCAAGGGACAAAAGAAATACAAGTTTCAGAACATACTCTTTTCAAAGAATCTTAAACAACACAAATGCTCCCAGTCAAAGCTGTTCTACCATCACTGAGAATAAAACTAACGAAATCCGAGAGTTTTCCCCAAGTTTAAAGCTAGAAAACAAAAATAAATGCTTCAATCTTCTTTCAAGAAGGAATAGTTTCCTCCAGCTCCGAGATAAATGCTCCCAGCTCTCTAGAGGCATGAGTGCAGACCAAAGCAGTACACTTCAGGAGCAGTGTCAGAAAACTTCTCTGCATTGCAGTGACCTTCTCATTCCGTGGGGGTTCTCGTGCAATCTCACCGCAATTATTGTTACTGCCACTACAACACACTTGCAAACACCAACCAGGGACCAAAACCAGTGCACGCTGCTCTGCTTCACACACAACTGTTTCCTATTTCTAAAAATATAAACCACATGAAAATACAAGGAACCTCACAGTTTACTCTTCACCATCTTGTGTCAACAGGGCTTGCATTCAGAACTGGAAACAAGGTAGCATATTCTTGCAAAACCGACATACAAGAAATAGCAGGCTCTTTCTCCCTTCTCTCTTGCATTTTCACACAAGCATTAAAGCATGATTTTGTTTTCTCTCTTTTGTTTTCTTCCTGTCTGTGTGTTTGAGGTAGAAAAAAATTACGAGAGGATGATGGGTATCCTGTCCTGCCCGCTAGTTCGGTTCTTGGAAGGCTGTCTAGTGTTTTCATGGGAAGGGGAACCTCACTCTGGACAGAACGGTTTTCTTCATTGCATGGTACACATGTAATGTATTGACTCTACTGTATAAATTCAGCAGTTTGACCAAATCACTATACTAAAGATAATCAGCAAAAACTGCTCAGAATGAAAAAGTGAAACAGCCAGCAGCAATGACAAATGTCAGCAATTCTAATGATCTTATGCTGGCACTTGGCTGTTTCTATCCTGACTCACTCCAAAACATCCAAGGTTTTAAATCAAAGCACAACATTCAAAGCTTAAGATACGTTTAAACAAAGGGCTCAACACTGAAATTGCTGTCAAAGAGGGATGCATCTTTTCAGCTTTCTTTTTGGCACAATTAGTGACTTCCTTGTGAGAAAAATGAAAAAAAACAAACAAACAAAAAAAAAACCAAAAAACAACAACAACAAAAAACCACGAACAACCCTAGCTCTTGTTAATAAGACAGGCCCTTTTAAAGTGTTGGTTCACCTTCTGCACTGCCCAGCACCACAAAAAGGAGGAGATTAGCTATCAAATATAACAGTCCAGCTACTCCAAACTTAATTACTACTTAGGATGACAAAAGAAGAAAAAATGCACTCTATTCATCTGCATTCGCAATAACATGCAAAGCAAGGAAGGTGTTTAGAATGTCATCAATTAACATGATACCGCTGCTTCTGCTTGAAGATCTGGCCATTGAAAGACTGCATGTTCAAGCTCAAGCTTCAGTTCCAAAACTTTCATCTTAAAGAATTGATATAAAACCCAAAAATCAGTCAAAGGTACACTGACACATCTAAAAATTTAAAACAAACAAACAAAAAGTATTATCAGCTAGAGTGCTTTCACAAATTCTGAGATTAGATGACCACAACAACTGCTCGCTCACCCTCCCC